TCAAAACTGTGCTGGGGCCAAAGAGGACTTCATTTGATTTGGGCGACACGTGTGATCCCATGAACAGACATTTTTTTAGACCATTATTTTCTTAAGTCAACACAAAGATGGTGAAGAGGAAAGGGGGAAATAAAATAGAAGCCTCAACTTTAGGAAAAGACAATACATTTGAGATAGCCCCTTCCAGGCATTAAGACTTTCAGAGAATGTCCCCAATCTCTCTCTCCTGCGAGCCTGAGAGAGTTAAGGGGACTTATTCAGGAATTGGAAACCTTCAATTCTGGATTTTTGTGCCTTTGTGGGTTTAGGCAAAGCAGTTAGCGTTCTTCAGGAGGGGTTTTGTGTTTAATATACATGAGTTCATTCAACTACAATGGGAAAAGAAAACTCATTTGTTCTTATAAAACTAGGAAGGAAAGATAACTTTAAATAGACTGCCAAAAAGGATCCCGCTCGAGGGGGTTTCTTTCCCGCTAAAGAGCCAACATTCAGCTGTAATTTCACCCTGTTATGTTAAGCAGCAATTCCTAAGTTTATCCTCATCTATCGTCTTGATTTTCTGATTTATTTTTAAGGTCAGGTAAGAAAAAGTACGGGTTGCACTTACTCTACTGTGGGAAAGAAATCCCGGGAGTGTGATTTTAGATGCTGGACAAAAATTGCGGACAGTTTGAGAAGGCTGATGGCTATTTATGAAGAGTCGTGGAAGCCTGTTTGGACAATCGGCTTCTCCATTTATTGAGAAGCCTTTTGAAAGCTACTTCGAGAGGTGGTGTGTGCGAGTCGGCTTTTATGCTGTTTATTGCGTACGTTAAACTCCTGCCAGGATCTGAGGTTGTTTTTCCTTTTTTTTTTTTTTTTTTTTTTTTTTTTTTTTTTTTTTTTTTTTTTTTTTTTTTTTTTTTTTTTTTTTTTTTTTTTTTTTTTTTTTTTAATTTGCTTCTTGTAGCACTGGACGAAAGTGGAGCTGCTTTTTCTATTTTTGTATCTCCCTCCCGACCCTCTGTTTTTTTTTTTTTAACCTCTCGGCAATGTGTTTTTTACCGCCCCGGTCCCGCAGTCCCAGTTCCCGCATGCGGTGGTGGCCGGCAGGTGCGGTGGCAGCGGGGCCGCTCGGAGGGCGCGGGATGAGATCGGTGGTGCGGGGGAGCCGCCCCCGCAACCCCCCGGCCCTGCGGTCGGGTCCGGGCCCGGGCCGTGCGCTCCCCGCACGTGTGCTCGCCCTGCGGTTCCATTCGGGGGAAGCGGGATGAAAGGAAAGGCCGGGAGCAGCGCGGGGCTCCCTCGGCATTCCCCGGCTTTTCAAGGGTCCTTAGAGCCCTTGAATGAAATTATTGGGCGAAATGGGGTCTTGGCGGGCCCGGCCGCGGCTCGCCCCCTCCTTGGTTTGTACGTGTAATGCCACTTCTGAGAGCGACAATCGGGCTACTTGCTGGACAGGCAGGGACAAAAAGGAGATTAAACCGTTTTAAATAATAATAAAAAATTTCCAAAACGCAAGCAGAGTGGATTACACTTGCTGCGACGCCTCGGCTCCCCCCAAGTCCCCCTCACAGCCGCCCCCGGGCCTCGCAGGGAGGGTGGCCCCAGCCTCACCCGTGCTCGGCCCCGCCAAACTTCCCAAGCTTCCCTGAGCTCTTTCTTTCTGGGCCCGGCGGGTCTCCCCGGGTCTCCGGCCATCGCCGTGTGAGATACTTATTTGGCCGAGAACATCCTGCATTTTCCCCACCTCGGGAGCGTGCAGGGGCTGAGGAAGGCGGCTCGGGCCGCAGGGCTCCCCCGGCCCCTGCCCGTACCCACTCCAAACGTGGATTTTATTCTAGGGCATTCCAGACCGGATCTCCCCAAGTTTTCCTCGGCATGCTACCGCAAACTCACCATGTGATGACTGAAATTCCCCAGAGAGTGGGGTATAGTTTGTGCAATAGGACTTCCCTGACTAACTTCGGCTCTGGACTGCCACAGCTTCAGAGGGGCGAGAGGAAATTTTATCTGCACATTTTCGTCTTTGCCTGTTTTGTTTTGTTTTGTTTTTTTTTAACGTAATGAAATTAAAACTTTTGGAGCTCACAGTTGACATTTTGCAGAAAATTGAGTTATCAAGGCAGTAATTATTTCACAGGGAGATAAAACTCTCATAGCCCTAACTATCAAATAGGGCCCTTTTCAGATTTTAATTACAAAATAAAATTAGTCTGCTCTTCCTCGGAAGGGTTTGTGAGTGGCTAAACAGAGCTTTCCCCAATACTGGTGGTCGTCAAACTCTGCTAATTAGCAATGCTGAGAAATTCCAGTTAACAAGGACATTCTCTAAGTCTCTGCAGGTTCCCTGCCGTTCGCCTTCATTTCCATAAGAAGATTAAGAGTGGAGGGGAACACACTCAAATGCAGATGCAGAAAAGAAGCGTTTTTAACAAGCATCATAATAGTAAGATGCTTGGCTAGTTCTCACCTAATTACTGCAAGTTAAACCTCTATTTGCAGCTAAGGACAAAAAATGGAGCTGCAATCTCCCATCTCCACAAGTCTGCTTAATAGTTTGCTTTAGATTGGTTACTAGTAGGTTCGGGAAAAAAATAATATGAAAATGTGTATATTCTTTCCGATACAGTTAACACGATAGGTTGTATCCTTAGGGCTTTTAGAAAAATCGGCGAGTATTAGAACAAAAAATACATTAAATCCTTCTAGTTAACATTCATTTTCTTTTTAAGACACTCATAACCTGGAAATAAGAATGCGTGTGCCGCAGAGCCCATCACTGAGAACATTTGCAGACTATTTGTTTAATGTAAGCACTTTTCATCTCCATAAATTATACCAATGGCAACGATTTTTTAAATCCACTCAGATTAAACCGTCCCTCTGCAGGCCTCCCTTCCAACGTGGCTGTATTCTTAGAGAGCAGTGGTGTTATTGTCATTAATATGGAACATCGGGGACCATTTCATTTTTATTTTTTAATAATTTTATTTTATAGCCAGCTTCCCGGTCTGCCTTTGCTTCCGCCCACCCATGTGTGTATTCCCTGCTAAGCAAACATCTATACCCAGAGGAAAGGCGCAAAATGCCCCAAAAGAGCCATCGCCCTCACCTTATTTCCTGTAGTGCATTATTATGTATATATGACAGTTTATTGCATCGATAATTAAAAGCGTTAATTAAAATAGAGCCGTAAATACTCCCGATAGCACAATTGTTAGGCATTTCCCATCCTTTATTCATATGATAAATGCAATTAGGAGAGGACCAGGCCCCGAAAGGCCTCCAGCGGGCACAGGGCAGCCCACGCCACCCTGGTCCTGCATGGGGCCCTGGGCTGTGCACCCCATGCACCTCCCGCAGCTACAGCCGGAGCAAAAATAACACTTTGCCTTCACACCGCCAGCCCTCACTAATCATCAGCATGACGAACAAGCACCACTGCCACCCACCCACAACCTCGTCTTAAAAAAAAAAAAAAAAATCAAAAAATAATTATCCCTAAAATAATTTTAAAATAAAACTTCATCAACTGCAGACCAAAGGGAGAACAGTAAGAAAGCAAACAGCTTTCAGGAGTGTCTGGACAATCAGAATACGGTTATATCCCACATCTCATAATTCGCACCTATTTTTCATCAGTTTAACCTATCACTTATCCAGGGGTTATATATAAATTTTCGAATTGAACACGCTGAACCCGACAGGATTTATTTGCATAATCCACGCACAGGAAAAAAAAAAAAAGAAAAGATGCGTCCCCGTTCGCTGGCAGGTTTTTATTATTATTATTATTATTATTATTATTATTATTGTTACGCTTCAGACGGGCTGTAATTGCTCGCTCCCTTCCCCCCCGTCCCTCTCCCGGGCGCGGCCAGGCCGGCAGGGGGCGCCGCAGCGCCGCGGCTGAGCCCGTCGGGGCGCCCCGCGCTGCCCCGGCCCCTCACGGGCCCTCACGGCCCGCACGGCCCCGCACGGCCCCGCTCCGGGATCCCCGCTCCGACATCCCCGCCCCGGGGTCCCCCCGCCGCCCCGCACCCCCTCCGCCTTCACGACCGAAAGGCGGAGCAGCCCCGTCGGGGCGGGGGAAGCGCGGCCGTGGCGGAGAGCGGCTCGCCCCCCCTCCACCCCGCGCGTCCTCTCTCTCTCTCCCCTCCTTCCTTTGTCGTCAAGTGCGGTTTAGCAACAAAGATCCCAACAAGAGAGTGGAAGTAAACTTAGCCGGGGCTTTGTGCGGCCCGTGTAGTGACAACAAGGGAAACAAAACTACCTATTTGTAGCGCCGGCCGTCCCGCCCCCCCCTGCTCACCCCCCCGGGCCGAGCCCACCCAGTGCCGCCCGCGCCCCGCGGTGTGCTCGGGGTGGCGGCGCCGCCGGGCCGGGGCTGTGAGCGGTACGGGGCGAGCGCCGCACCCCTCCCCGGCCCCTGCTGAGGGGTCCCGGCCGCGCTTTGTGTTCTGCGGGGACGGCGTGTGAGGGACCCGTGTTTGCACTACACAACCCCGTCCGCCGAGGCCGGAGGTTGCGGGGAGAGCTTGGCGCTCGGAGCGGGGCCCGGGGGATGGCCGGGAGGTGGGCACAGCCTCTGCCCGGGCTGTGCGGGGCGGGCTCGGCTCCCCGGCGGCGGAAGGCAGCGGGGCCCGGCCGGGGACGCGGCTCCCAAGGGGACCCCGCGGCGCTCGGCCTGGACGGGGCGAGCACAGGGCCCCTTCAGCCAGGCGGCCCCTCCGCCCCGGGGGGCGCTGGCAGAGAGGGGGTGGGGGCCGGGGGAAGCCGTTCCGCATCCCCCCCCGGCCTTCTCCCAGCCCCAAGCCAACACCAACTTAAAGGCGGAAAAAAAAAAAAAAAAAAAAAGGAAAAAAAAAAAAAACCACCACGTAGCAACAATGCTGTTTACCCACTTCCTCCAAAAGGCGTGTGTGACCTGTTGCTGGAAGGGGAGATACAAAGGCTCGCAGTGGCCGCCCGGGCCGCCCCCGGGCCCGCCTCCCCGCCGAGCCGTCCCGGCGCGCCCAGCCCCCGCCCCGTTTCATGCAAAACCAGGGGAAGAGACTTGTCCTCAGTGGCGGAGCCGCCGAGCGCTGATTGGCCGGGGCGAACGCATTTATTGCCTGACAAGCCCCCATCACATGGATGGTTGTCTATTAACTTGTTCAAAAAAGTATCAGGAGTTGTCAAGGCAGAGAGAGAGAGTGTGTGTGTTTGCAAAAGGGGGTAAAGTAGTTTGCTGGCTCTTTAAGACCGAGGTGGAGAGAGAGAGAGAGAGAGAGAGAGAGAGAGCGGCAGGCAGAGAAAAGGGAAAAAGGAGGAAGAAGTTTTTTAAAATCAAGGCTCCGGCGGTAATAATAGCAGTTATTAGCATTATTAATCCATCAGCGAAGAGGAAGATCCTGATCTTGATCCAAGTGTGGTTTTGGGGAGTCCCCCTCCCCCCTTTCCTACCCCTCCCTAGGAAAAAAAAAAAAAAAAAAAGTCCGGCTTGGGACTCCGCTGCGGCTGCTCCTCGTTTCTCTGCTCAAGGCTGGTTCCAGGCAAAAGTAGTTTGAATGTACAACATGATGGAAACCGAGCTGAAACCTCCCGCCCCCCAGCAAACTTCGGGGGGAGGCACAGGCAACTCCAACTCGGCCGCCAACAACCAGAAGAACAGCCCGGACCGGGTCAAGCGCCCGATGAACGCGTTCATGGTGTGGTCCCGCGGGCAGCGACGGAAAATGGCCCAGGAGAACCCGAAGATGCACAACTCCGAGATCAGCAAGCGGCTCGGGGCGGAGTGGAAACTTTTATCCGAGGCGGAAAAGAGACCCTTCATTGACGAAGCCAAGCGGCTCAGAGCTCTGCATATGAAGGAGCACCCGGATTATAAATACCGACCCCGGAGGAAAACCAAGACCCTCATGAAGAAGGATAAGTACACGTTGCCGGGGGGCTTGCTGGCACCGGGCACCAATACCATGACGACTGGGGTAGGGGTTGGGGCCACCTTGGGAGCTGGGGTGAACCAGAGGATGGACAGTTACGCGCACATGAACGGCTGGACCAACGGAGGCTATGGGATGATGCAAGAGCAGCTCGGCTACCCGCAGCACCCGGGCTTGAACGCGCACAACGCGGCGCAGATGCAGCCCATGCACCGCTACGACGTGAGCGCCCTGCAGTACAACTCCATGACCAGCTCGCAGACTTACATGAACGGATCGCCTACCTACAGCATGTCCTATTCCCAGCAAGGGACCCCGGGCATGGCCCTGGGCTCCATGGGCTCGGTGGTCAAGACGGAATCCAGCTCCAGTCCCCCCGTAGTCACTTCCTCGTCTCATTCAAGGGCTCCTTGCCAAGCTGGGGACCTTCGGGACATGATCAGCATGTATCTACCAGGTGCTGAAGTACCAGAACCAGCTGCCCCAAGCAGACTTCATATGTCCCAACACTACCAGAGTGCACCTGTTCCTGGCACAGCCATTAATGGCACACTCCCTCTATCACATATGTAAGACAAAGGGGCCGGGGAGGGCGGGGAGGGGAGGGGGGGGGGC